TAAAATTGCTATAAATGTAATTAATAGTTAAAACATCAGCAATATAGAGCAGAAAGAAATATACAAAATATATTAAGCCAGCAGGTAAAAGTTAGCAAAGAAATTGGTAAAAGTCACTTTAAAAAATTTGCTAAAATATAAACAGGTTAGCTGTCGATGGCTAACTGTTGGAGAAACTTTGAAAAATCGCAATTGGTCAATAAGGGGTCAGCATTGCTAAAGTTATTCTATCATTTTGTACAGATTAGCCAGGCGATAATTTAATCTTCAAAAAAACATAATAAACTTTAATCAATGATGTTAAATTTAAGGTTTTGTAGAATTGGTCCAAATTGTCAAAAGATATTTGCTAATAATACCTGAAACTCCTCCAAGATGTCTAACTTAACCAAGAAATTAGCCTAGAAACAGATAACGTTAGCACCACAGTTCCAGAGTCATGTTGTAGTTTAATTATTCTGTTTTATCTTCTGTGTTTCTCAGGTTTTGTTGTGAGAAAAGCGCTGACGCTGTCAGGATGCTGCTTCCTGATGAGACGTCTCCTGCTGTGAGGCTCAATAAAAAGCCATTAGTCTCCATGGATCTTCTGTCAACGCACATTTCAGAATAAAAGCTTGACTTGTTGCTTTTATAATCGCTGTGTTTCCGTGTGCAGGTCTTGACCACGTCTGAAAACATCACCAAACGTCTGGCCACAGAAAAAGCCTGCACTTGGCTCTCAGCCAACATCACAGGTAAATCAACAAAGGCATGAAATCAATCAGATCTAAGGTCGGTCATTTATCAAGTATCAAATATTGTGATTTATTCGCTGAGAAACAGATCAAGGAAACTTCCTTTAAATGTGCACATTTTTTATTAAGTGATTTTATTTTTTGTGTGTGTCTTTTTGCCGATGTGGCTTTAATGTGCAGTCAGACACACTCTGATCATTTATGTTCTGAATTATTCATGTCAACCAGCTTCACTGCAGGAGACGCTTCATTTCTCTCTCTGTAGACTCTGATTCCTCTGATCTGATGTGAGGTCAATATCAACGCTGTCTTTTCTGCAGCTGTATTCTGCCGCTCATACGTAGAAGAAGGCAGGATTTTCTGCAGACAGTCATGATTAAATAGAAACTCACAATGAGCTGATCAATTATCACACTCATTCATAATTTACTTGACAAACAATCAGTTTTATGTAATATTTTAAATTTTAAGCAAGAATAAGTTAATTAAACAAATTTGTCCAACATTCAGCCTTGGCTGTCTGTGAAATGTTTAATGTGTTTGGGATTTTTTTTTTTTGTGAATGGCCAACTCTTGGAGTAGAAGTATCAAAAAAAAGTTGTTTTTTTCTTTTTACATCTTTGGGCATATTCTTTTATTGTTAAATTAGCTGTTTTGCAATACCTGGGGCTAACCTTTAGCTAGCCATTCCTGAGATTGTTTTGGCAGTTTCAGCAACACTTTTTTTTTATTTTAAAAAAGCTTTTTTTCTTTTAGTAATTTTGCTCTATAATCTTCATATTGCTGTTTCGTCGTATTGCTTTTTTTTGCTAACCTCTTAATATTTTTGGCTAAATATTAATCTGACTTTACAGATTACGCTCCCATTTTCTAACCTTCTAACCTTTTGACTGTTTTTGCTATTTAACAGACACCTCTTGCTAAAGTTTTGCCACTTCACTTTTAGTGGTTTTTGTTGCTAAAGGTGTTATATTTTTGGCAAAACCATTCTCAAGCTGTTTCTTGTGTTTTCCGACTTTTAAAAGGCATAAAAATGCTGAAATGTAATTTCAATAATTTGTGCAAAACTGTGTGCTTTAAATTAATGATGTTACAAATTTAACAGGAGCATTTGTTCTGTGCTGTGAAATGAAAACACTGCACCGCAGTAAGTTTGTTTGAGACTTAATTATAGTCTTCAGTCTCAGAGGAGCGGCAGTCGGGCCTCAGGTATTTTTACATTATTGAATCTGCTGCTAATTTAACAACGCTGGGACACCGCTGTTATTAAAGATGTTATTAAGACATCTGTGCTCAAATGTCCCCAAAACAACTGTCTCACTTTGTTTATTTGCGGTCTTTCCTCCTCCAGCACTCATTCGACGTGAGTGGAAGAGCAGATACGATCGTGTCATGAAGGCTGTGGGCAGTCCAGCGGCTCCAGACTCTAAGGACACTCAGCCTTCTGTGGTGGAGCCCCTGGACGCCCAGGAGCAGCCCACCACTCCCAGGAGAAAACAGGGAAAGGAGAGAGTGGTGTCCTGTCCTGTGAACTGCAGCCACAGTGCTTCTCTGCCCTCAGACGTCCTCATCGAGCTGAAGGTAGCATCGGCTCAAGTCATAGCTTTCCTCTGGGATTAGATTTTTTTTTTTGTCTGAGATTTTAATACAGCTGTCTCTTTCTTTAAATGTAGGAGCTGTTGAGCATCGCAGTGGGACCCATGAGTGATGAGGAGCTGCCAACACACTCCCAGCTAAAGACACTAATAGAGAAAGCTGCGGAGACGCTGAGCTGCAGAAAGGTTCAAACTGCAACACAACACCTTAGGTAGTTGAATGTAATTCTGCTATTATTAGACAAACTGAGGTTTTCTTCATCTCTATTTTTAGTTTTCAACAGTGATGTCAGAGCAGATGCTTCTGAACTCTGTCGTCCTCCTGGCCTGTAAACTGGGTGAGGAGTTGAACATTTAAATATTGATTATTTAAAGTGTGAAGGTGTTTCTGCACAAACAAAGGAAGTTAAATACACTCTCCTGTTCACCTCCCAGTGTCTGCAGAGCTGCCGCTCCTGTCTCCATCAGCCTGCAGCGGTGATGAGGTCGACGCAGCTCCTGGTTCAGGGTCAGAGCATCCTGTCAGATGTTTGCTGGACCAACTTTCAGAGCTGTGGAGCCGAGACTGCTGTAGTTCTGCTCCTCTCCACCTGCTCTTTACTCCACTCACTGTCACTGCTGTGCTGAAGGCCTCTGACACTGAGGTACAGTAGGACGACCGACGCAACGAACACACAGCAGCATTCATCATTCAAACATTCAAGTTTTCATCTTTACACTGGAGTCACTATATATTATATATTATACAGTATATATTTTCTATTTTTATTTTTTGGGACTTTAAACCTATAGCCTACCTGAAAAAAATGCATGTGTGTGTGTATATATATATATATATATATGTTTGTGTGTATATTCTGACATTTTTGCTTTAATTTGGTGCATGTATCCAGGCACTTTTCTATCTTCTGATTTTCTTTCTTTTTAAAATCTGTGTTAAAATGCATGTTTAAATAAGGTTCTTAAAAAGCAGTGCATTATTTTACTTCATTAAGTTTCTTACAATAATAAATGCCTCTCTGTTTTATAGTATAGATATTTCCTTTCTCTCTGCCTTTAAATAACATTTTATTTTTTTGTCCTTTCCAGTGGAACAACTACATGTACCTGGTCAGGAAGTTGGTCGACGGGGGGATCCTGGGCATGGATGAGGTCACGTCTCACTGGAAGAAGCTGAAGGAACTCAGCCTCGGCGACGGTGAGGGTTCACTGCTTTTATCACGATACATTTCTTAGGACTCGTTCCTTTTTGCTGGTGAGTTGACCTCCCTGGACTGTTTCCCACTCTTTCTGGCTCATTGTGTTCTCTCATTTCAGTCTCATTCCAGGAGCTGATAGAGAAATTTCAGCTGCAGTCACAGAGTATTACACTCTCCTTGCCTTTGGCGGAGCTGCCGAGTCACATGGACCTGCTGCAGATCTCACACCAGACGATAGAGGGCGCCTTGAGACAACATAACGCCGCTGAATTTCCCTCCAAGTGTTGCGTATGATCCATCAGTGTGTTGTTAAAGAAAGAGACGGGAGATTTTTGGACAGTTCTTCCACTTCAGCTGCCGCACTCGTCCTCTGTTAGCTGTAAACTTTTTATTTTCTTGGGCTTTCTTTTCAAGTGTCTCTGCTCGTTCGCTAAGCTGCTGTTGAAATCCAGAAAGAAATGCCCGTCACTGGAATCTGCGAAGGAACCGACACTGTCTCTCTTCCTCAGATCCAATGATCCTTCCTGCGAGCAGACCAGTACATGCTGGTGTCTGAGCGGAAATAACTTGCAGATCAAGCATTTCAAACAGCCAACACTGAAACAGAGGCAGGAGACTTATGCCCACGATGGGCATTTGTGCATTTGTTTGGCAGACAAGAAAATAAACTGAGGAAATTTGCTGTCACATAAAAAGCATCAGCACATTGTACATAAAAATCTATATATTTCTACTGCTGATGCAAAGGAATTGACCTAAAGACCTGGTCCAAGGTATATTTCATTGTACAGTTTCTAGAAGATTCTCTTTTTCTGAGTTTTTGGATTAAAATGAGAAAATGAAATGTCTTAATTTTTAGCTCAGCACTTTGACACACACATACACATTGCCTATGACCCCAGCACTAGTGAATTGCTTGTAAATTGAATGAATACAGTGCTGCATTTGAGTTGTTGATTTTCATTTCTTTAGGATGAATGATCGCCACTTTCTGTGCTGCTTTTAAATGAAAAAAATGTTTTTTTTATGTTGCTATAAAGTTTAAAATGTAATAAAGATTACTGAAAATTTGTGTTTTCAACAAGTTGCAAAACAATGTACTGTCAAAAGCTTAAACAAAAAAGTTAGACAAAATGAAAGAACATGAAGTAAAACTGGATTTGACCATCGAAACAATGAAATTAAAGTTCAATTTTCAATTTATGCGTAAAGTTTTAGGAGTATCAACACGATTTATTAGCTTTTTTGGCTAATGTAAATGCATACACACACATATATACATATATTATAATAAACAAAAAATCAAATAAAAAGTGTAACATTTAAGAAAATCTTTAATGGTCAGCCCCTCCCTGCTTTCCATGAATATATTTGTCATTTTCTGTCTCAGCTTTGATTTTCAATCTCAACCAATCACGAAACAACCTTTTGTAATTCCCATTGCGATCCACACGTTAACATTTGATTTGAATATTAACAGTCAGAGGGAGGAGAGGGAAAACAAGATTTGAATGTTGTTGGCAGTAGTTGTAGGAGGAGAAAGGGAGGATAAGGAGGAGGGGAATCCAACGGCATCACTCCTCCCTCTCTGCCCGGCAGGAAGTTTCAATCTTCGGCTTCAGTTCTGGCGGAGACTCGGCGGGCGGGCGGTCGGACCGGGGATCAGCCACCGGTGGGGGATGAGTTGAGCAGCGGGCAGCAGAAAAAAGTTCCAGCCGCTTCAGGATTAATGATTTTTCCAAACGTGGAAAGTTAAAGCCTGTGGAAAATAATCGAGATGCTCACATGGAAATTGCTCTTATTTACCTCCACCTTCCACTGTTTGCTTCTGTGTAATCTCTCCGTCAGGAAACATGGCAAACGTTAAAGTTGCCATTCGGGTCCGTCCTCCTAATGCCAGGTATGTTGTGAATTTATTTAACAATTACTCAACTAACTAGTTAATTCTGCTTGTTTTATTTAACGATTTCGTCCTTTTTAACTTAAAGATATGTACAAATCACACTGGTCCTCACGTTATCCTCTGTTTTAGCTGCATTTGTAAGTTGCTGTTGTCGTCGTTTATTTTCTTATATTAACAGTTTTATTAGCACATTAGCTTGTTGCTTATGGACCAAACTTTGGGCAGTTGTTGTAGCAAGTGTTGAACACACACACTCACACTCACACACACACACACTCGCGGCTGTCAGTTAAGTTGTCTGACGGACAACACAAAAGCGCGTGTTGTTCCCGAGAATTACATTCGGCTAAGGCTTAAGATCATGTACAGTTAGCATTGTGCTAATAGAGATTAGAAATAGTACGAATTATACAGTAAACAGTTCGTCTCAACTTTGCTGCATGTTGTTGTGATTTGAATGTGTAAGGCCATAGACACTAACGAGACACTTTTATACGTAATGACTTGTGCCTTTAGAAAAAAAAGAAAAAGAAAACCGGAAGTGCTTAACGTGTTTTGGGATGAACTGTAACAGAAATTAGGCTACTTCTTATTTGTTTTTATCTCAGGTGCTACCTTTAGGTCTTCTTCTATAAAATACGAAGTCAGTTAGGTCCTTTATGATTGAATTGTGAAAATGGTTTATTAAATGGATTGAAGTAAGAGAAAACGGATTAAAACAAGTCAAAATATGTCTATAACGACAACCTAAACTAGCTAAGTGGAACGTGTTGACCGAGGGTTGATCTGAGGGCCCCATCATTTCATTGGGGGCCTCATGAGTGATCAGTGTTTCATTAAAAAATGCAACTACCACAAATTATTTTTGTCATTCTCGAATGGCCAACTAAAATATTTTAATATTTGGGGAAAAAAAACAACAAAAATTGGAATTCCTCACAAAATAACCAGAAAGGCATAACAAATACTTATTAACATGTCTGCTGAAAGTGGCCCCCAGGCTGGGAGTTTAAGACCCGTACCGTAGCTGGTGAAGGTCACCAACATTTCATCGTTGTAGAACATCACCAGTGTGGCAACATTATCAAACTCTTGTTTTTAGGGCAAAAGTTAGCTTATGTAAACAATGGAGAAATTTACTGTCAACAAGAAGCGATAGAAATCAGAATATCTTCACACTGGAGGAGCCTAAAGTGAAGAACTTTAAAATTTCATTTGAAGTCAACTGAACAAAGTTAAAGAACAGTTAGAAATAGCTGTGTCATCCATCTGCCAGCAATACTGTTTCATCTACCTTCCCTTATGGAAGGTTGGGATAAAACTGTGTTGATAGAGATAGACGTAGTTTGAAGACCACACTACATGGGCTGATGTTGTTTTCAGATGAGGCTCCTTATAAAAAGTCAATGGTAAAGGTGCTAATTTAATTCTGTCATGTCAGTAAACAATCCTAAATTCATAGTGTCAAACACCATCTTCTGCAATCCTATTCCAAAATGAAAATCAGTATGACTTCTGGATCAATGTCTAAATCCTATGAAACCAAATGAACTTGACTTTAAAAAAAAAAGAAGCTCGATACTAACTTTTTGAAACTTTTCTGCAGTGCTTTTTTGTTGATTTTAGCCAAACTCTCTCCTGTTTGCAGCCGTCTCAGGTCACTCCTGCCTCCATCAGTCTTGATTTAAAACAAATCGCCCTCTGTGCACGGCCTGCAAATGATGCAGGTCGACATGAGATCAATATAAATCGCCTTGGTGTGAAATCCTGACTGAGTCACATGGAGGTTTTTTGGGCTCAATCAGAATGGTGTGAACCCATTTGGCAACAGAAAAGTTTCTTAGTGGAAACTGTTTTCCCCTCTTTTGTTAGTAAACATTAGATCGATGGGTCTAGGTTTTTAGTAATTCATGGATTGGAAACCCAAATAAAGTGAAACAGAAGATTTCATGTATTTATGACAACATATGGATTAATCATATGGAAACACTCCAGTGTGTTATTTTACACTGACGTACCCTAAACCCACATCTGGTGTCATTACACCCGGTGAAAAAAGCTAATCCTGTTTGACTTGTAATTTTCTTTTTGGTTTTTTATCCTGTGTATTTAAAACATAATCCCACTCATTTTCTTATTTATTTGAAGGCAATTTAATGAAAGCCATTTATGGCGTGAGTGGGGATTTGGGGTGGGGGGGTACCTTTATTTAACAGTGCTGTAAAAGGAGGCTGCAAGGAAACACAGATGCAGTAAAGTTGCTCTGCTCCACTGGAGCACCACACTGTTGATTTAAAGGCCTACAGAGTCTGGAGATATGGAGTGTATAGGCTCCATCGTAGTCCGTTGAATTACATTTTTACTCCTGCAGGAAGTTTTGCAGAAACACTTAATCTTCAGACCTCTGCCTTACCACAGGAACGAGTTACTCAGGGCCGTGAAAGGGCTGGATAATAATTCTTTCCAACAGCCTTTCAGGTGTTTTGCATAACAAAGGAAAATCTTATATATGATGTTCACCTCTGTGAATACTGGCTCTGCCTCTGACGCTCTCACTTCTCTCTCTTCCTTTCCATTTATAAGTAAAGGGATGTATTTCCTGACTTTTCAGCTGTCTGAAGTTTTTTTTTACGAGGCCTATAATAGATGATGTAGAAATACCTCAGGGTCAACTGCTCTTTGTGTAGTACTTTTAGAATATGAGGATGTTTTGTATAAATGTGCTTCATTATAAATGGTTAGTGCTTCACAAATGCCTTTATTGAATTGTGTAGTCACATGGTTTAGACCTGTTTGACTATACTTTTATGGGTTTCCTAGACATCTGAAGAAGTCAAAGTGGTGATTAATTGTTAAGTTAGCTAAGTTACTTAAAGATGATCTTCAACCTATGTCGAAAGTTAAGAGAATCCAAATCAAAATATAAAAATGATTGGATATTTTCTATACTAAAACTTGTTAAAATCTGCCGTGAGTTAGTTGAAAATAAGACAAAGCTGTGATGTCAAAATTATAAAACAACAAAAGAAAGCTAAATAACCAGAAGTACGTTTTACTAAAGTTTAAACTTCTAACAAAGGGACGACCTCAGAGTAGTCGAAAATGTCCCAAATATAGTTAAAACCTGCCATTGTTCATTAAAGGTCAGATCAGTAATTGAGTCTGAATCTTCATCCACGACACAAACCTGAAACCACAGGGACTAGTCTCAAATCATTTCTTTGACACAGACTTTGAGTCTGAACTTTGCAGACTCTGTTGTGACTCCCCATAGTCTTGTTTTTGGTAAGTTGGACTTTAGCACTGAAGACTAGACAACATGTCTGCAGAAATGCCTCTAAAACCTGTTAGCGTATTGGGCCACATAAAAGCTGTTCAAGTCTGAGGATTGATATCTGGTCAAGTCTACATCAGAAGTAGGACGCATTCCCTGCATCACTGTACCAGTGTTTTACGACCTTCATGTAGGTTGTAGTAGAACAATATTTGATAGTTGTTGGAAGAACTCATGAAGGAACCAGACCAGTTGTAAAATGACGTTTTTTGTGTTTATATCAACAAAACTGTTTCTTGTTTTAATGAAGCCGACCACTCTCCTTCCCTGATCTCCTCTATTTTCTACAACTTTAGAGTAAATGTTGGTGGTTTTGGGTGGGGTCACCATTGTAAGGGTTGGCAGAAGGAAGTCCATGGTTCGATGAGGGGGAGGGAGTAACGGGAGGGTGGGGGGCGCTGAAGATTACAACAGCCTCCCCTTTAGCTCTCAAAGCCACCACAGAGATTTGAGTTAGAGGAGATTGAAACATTCTCTCAGCTCCTTGTTTTGATTGCCTCCAGTTTAGCATGTGTTGCATCAGATATGTTGGGTCCAGCTGTAGAAACTCACTCACACACACATACACACACAGTTTAGCCGACCTCGTTCTACTCTCTTACACATATCCCAGGACCCACACTGGTCCCAGTTCTGCTCAGTTATCTGCTGTCTCAGTCGGTGGAACCTGCCCAGGTCGTTTCATCAGGGCTCTTTAACTCCTGGGGTTGGAGGGAGTGTGTTTAAAACTCTGTTTTCTTTTGAATCTGAAACTGGTCAGTGGGACTCAACTTTTTAAATGGCAATTTAATGGCTGACGTGCTCACAAAGGTCCATTGTTGTCACTGTCATGTGATGTCCCCCAGTCAATTGGAACCGGCCTAAATGTTTCTGGACACTCTCTGGACTACATAAACTACAATGACGGAGATTTAAACACACTTTAAATGGACTTTGGGGAGTGTATCTGGATCTGTTGTGACACCGTTGTTTAATCTGTGAAGTTGTGGAAAAAATGTTTGGACCTCCGCAGAAAATGTAAATTCAATAGATTATGCGTGGAGGAAACATCCGTAAGGAATTTTCCAAAGGTTTAGTATAACAACATCGAACCAAGGTCCTTCAAGGTTCCCAGGAATTCACAAAATGAACATACTGGACATGTGCAAAGTATTGACAAAGCAAATAAAAGTGCAGTTCTTGCTAACAGCCTATCAGTGATTGGCATGGAGCTGATCGACCAAACCAAAACACACTGTCAGTGTTCATCCCTGTGGTCCACGTTTAGGCAGTCCACGGACTGGATGCAGACCGCCGCCCATTATTTGGAGGCCACCGTTTTAGAGGACGCTGAGCATTCCTTGATGTCTCACCACTGTTATCATGACTAATGTGTGTTCACTCTGTGTCATTGTCCTATTTAACCCATATATTTAAATAGAAGAGCTAACATGTTTCTCTTGTCCCGTCTACAGGGAAGCTGCAGATGGAGGGAGGTTAGCAGTTCAGGTGGAGGATAAGTTTGTGAAAATCCAAAATGTGAAGGTGAGTAGTTCGTCCTGAAAATTAATAAATCGGTGATTAAGATACTCAAATACTCATAGTCCTGCATCTGTGTAGCTGGACTGGGAGTGAATTAGGAGCAGAAACAGGATGTTTACAGTTTTGACTCGGCCTTTTCCTGCTTGATGTCACTTTTGTTTATAAGATCTGAAGAGGTCACGTGGAATTCACACATGCACTCACTCACAAACACACTCACACACTCACACACTCAAACACAATTTCAGATTGTGGTGCCCATGCAGTTTTAAGAACCTGGCACTGGGACTGAGATTAATAATAACAGTCCTTTTCGCCAGACGAGTGGATTTTTGACTTAATGTTGTTTTATGATTCCTGAACCCGACTGAACACAGTAATTATGGTCACGGAAATTAGAAAGGTTGGGTTTGCACATTTGGATGTAATTATTATGTGAGCAATAAAGCCCTGCAGGCTGATCTGCTCACCAAGTTACCAACCTGTATGGTGTCAGATGGCAGTGTAGGCTTGTCTATTTTCTGAGCTCCACTCCTTGAAGACAGTCTGGTTTGAAACACACTAGACATGCATTTTTTCCACTTTTTTTTAAAAATTTAGGTTTACAGATCATATCAGAATAGTTCAACTCTAACTTTACCATAAACCAGTGCATACTGGTGCTGTGTTTATCTGACTGGTATGTCTTAAGGCACATTTTTCATGCGGGGTGGAGACAAATGATGTGACAAAGACAAACCACATATGGTTTTCTCTCTGCCATGGAAAAAGTTTAAGACTCCCAGTCTCCCCGGGGCTCATGGGGATAATTATTTAAAGAAAGTGGGACAGTTTTGGAGTAAGTGAGACAGAAAATACTCTGCATGTTACAAGATAATAAACGATGCAGTGTAGAAAGACTTAATAAGGATGTTAAGCTTCTGTCATTTTTGTTTTTCTGAACTCGATTATTATTGTTACCTGTAAGCGTTCTCAGTCTTAGAGACCGGCCTGGTGCTCCATAAATACAAAAAATTACTGTTGAGCCATCACTTTTCCAGGTTAGAAAACAAATAATGTAATGAGCTTAGTCCAGAGAATAAAACCCACAATGAACTTATTTTACTGTATTTTCCGGATAAAAGTTGCTCCGGAGTATAAGTCGCACTAGCCAAAAAATGCATAATGAAGAAAATGTGGTAATGTCACGAGGACCAAAAAGTAGACTTTAACCCATCTGCTGCATTTAGTAGGAACATTTGGGTCTGGAATGCAGTATATTTGGTTCAGCATACTTCATTGTTACTTTGTTGTTACTACCAATAAAAGTCAGAATTTTGATGGACATTTTCTTGAGGAGTTCCTGCTCTTTACCCAGATGTTTTTTTTATTGACTGGTTGTACATTTTGTAGTGCGTGCCATTCAGACGAAAAGTTATAAAATGAACATTAGTGTAAGATGAAACATCTGAGTGGACACTCAGATGTTTCATCTGTGTATAATTGGTACAATAAGTACCAAGTAACAGTTAACAGGCGAATGAGTGGACACTGTGTATAATTGGTACAGTAAGTACCAAGTAACAGTTAACAGGCGAATCAGGGCAACCTAAGAAAACGCACAAAAAAATAAACCAAGGAAAAGTGATGTCCAACCGCAGGAACAGAACTCACAAGTTCGACATAATTCAAATACGCAGTGTATTTACAGCACTTGAAGAAATTGTTCTCCAACAGCTTCTGGAACAGACTAAACAAAGTTTTTCAAAAAGGGGCGAACAAGTTCTAGGTTTGAATATCCAGTGATTTAGAACTAATACTCTTTTCCACAGTAGCCTGGTTCTGCCGGGACAAGTGCAACCGCTGCTGTGTTGTTTTGTAGAACGGCTTCACAGTAAGCAGAAAGGTGTTCAGTGTTAATGCACTGAGGCGAATCAAGGAGTGAACACAATTTTAATGAATGGAAACAGCAGCCTTGCATTTTCACACTCCTGCAGGTCCATAAACAAAGGCCAGACGACCCGGTTTATTTAACCTAACATTGAATTTTAATGGACGTATGCATTCAAACATAAAGTGTTCCTTACTGTACAGTGTCTTTGTGCACTGGCTGTTTATAAACCACTGTAAAACAAAGTCTTTATTGTTTATTTCTGATGAACTATGACTAACTTTGCTAAGTGTGTGATGATAAACGCGAGTCACTTAAATGAAAACAAATCAGTGTAATTTAAATCGGAATGTGTCTGTGTTTTACATTTATGCATATTTGTGTTTCTGAAGCTGGACGGACGGGCAGACGGTGCTGTGGACTCCAGGGAGAAGCTTCTGGAGTTTTGTTTTGACTACTGCTACTGGTCAGTGGATCCTGCGGACCCTCACTATGCCTCGCAGGAGGAGGTAATGACTCCCTGACACTCTGACTCGCCAACTAGCTGTTGTACGTCACTTAAATGTCACATTATTCCAATTGGCTGATGGGTTGGTTAGGTTGTTCTTTCTTCCTGAGTTTCCCCTAAATGTATTTGACCAAGGTAGAGTGACACAGACAGATCACTGAGAAGTGGAACACAATCGTACCATTAAACGGCACCGTGGTTAGATGTGGAGTTTACACCTCACCATTTCATGGAACTGACTTTATATTTATTGGACCCTGAAAACGGGCCTACTCAGTTTAAAAGACACTGTACTGGAAAGTAGAAGACAGTGTTTTCATTTGAAATCAGTTTAACAGCTGGTGTGGTTCCAGAGAGAGCAGAGAGTCCTGGGTTACCAGAGGAACCACATGCTTGATTATTAATCCTTCTGTAAGTCACTGCTAACTGCATAAATGTAAAAGCTCCACTCACTTTCTGTTCAGTTATCTGTGTTAGCTCTACAGAAATGTGCATTTCGTTGTCCTTATTTTTAATATAGTTTTGAATTGACTTTTAGTTTTATGAACGTGTCAACAGTGTCAGACTAGAAACAGAAATATCTCTTTTGTTTTGGCTTCAAATGACCTTTAGTTTAATGAGAAGAAAATAAAACTGGCTGTAAACATTTTGCTGCCTGGTGTCCACACACACACGCACGCACGCACACATGCACGCTCTGCAGCTGTACCATCTATACTGCCTTCCAGTTCATTGCGCTGTGCCATCTATACTGCCTTCCAGTTCATTGCATATTTATTAAGACCCAACCTGAAGAAGTACATGTATCAGTACTTGGTATTGGCAGGTATACAAATACTCATACTTTGTATCAGTTAGTAGAAAATCTGTATCACTTCGACCCCAGTTACTTTTTTAACTTGTTTGTTTTCTGTTACATCTGTTACATACAAATTGGTTTTACTTTCAGCACAGTCTTCGGATAAATCCTACTAACAGTTGCATTGGCAGTGGGAGATTTATGATTATTAAATTTTTGAGTCCCACCCTTGGTGCAAATATGTCTCAGCTGTGTCTGAAGAATTATTAGCAGGTGTCTGGCAGCGGAGATAAGACGTGAAGAGACGAGAAATGACTGTAAATAGTTTATTATGACACAATTGAATCAGCTCTACTTTGTCTACTTTTCTTCAATGCTGCGGTCATCTCATCCCCTCCAGGATGCACACCAACCACCGGGCTATTTAAGTTTGATGTGTGTGGTCAATATGTTCCTTACTTTTTTTTCAAGCCCTGATGTGTTTGCTGGCCCAAGCTTTGGCCCCATGTTGACACTGGACAGACGCCACGTCTGTGCCAAGCAAGTGCCCAGAGGACACACAGTCCTTGTCGACAAAAGTTCTACAAGAAAGACTGTGTGCTTTGCTGTGTTGTGTTGTGTTGTAATGTTTTCACACAGATGGCCACTCGAGGGATACAATATCGGGTCCATCTGTTACCCAGAAGTCTCTTTGACTGAGATACGGCACAGTTAGAGCCTGCTTTCTTTTTCATGTTGCGGCTGTGATTGGGTGCTGTGATAATCCTTGTGGTTCTTTGACTGAAGGCTGTTTCTGGAACCTGAGAAGTGCTGTCTTTTTACAGAAGTGGTTCCTGTTTCTGTTGTAGGAACTCACTGACTTTCTTTTTACAGAAGTGGTTCTGTTGTTTCTGTTTCTGTTGTAGGAACTCACTGACTCAGATCTTAACTTGCAGAGGAGGTCCTTATTTAAGGCACGTAGGCTTTGTCATTACTTATTGTTTGGCAAACAAGCTAAAGTTAATCTGCTCGTTTTTTGGCTTTGTCATCAGTGTTCCCTCCTCTGCCGCACCCAGAGATGCCATTGTCTGTGTCTAAGACAGACGAGGCCTACAGTGAACGCTGCGGCATCTTCCTCTTCCCTTCCTTGGCTCTGGTTTCTCTCTCCTCAGCAGAACTGTGTCCAGTCACACTAGCCTGGTGTCCACAAAACATTCCTCTGTTGCCCCGTTGTGGGCGGAAGGACACTGGCGAAAGTCACAATTGCTGGATTGAAATCTGACCTTTTTTCTCTGGCATGAATCAAAAGGATTGTCCCTTTAACCCAAGTATCACGTAGTTGAGTGTGTCAGCCATTTAATAATCGCATCACGGTTGAAAATATTTGACTTAAGCACAGGGAGGCTTGTTTCTATTGTGGATGTGATCAGACAGCAGGCTGTGACACCAGGAGAAGACCGGGCCAACACTGTTTGTGTTTCAATGCAGCAGCTCCAGATTAATACTGCTCACCGGCAGGTGGGCCCACAGTTTAAGAACCACTCTGAACATTTCACCAGACAAATTGGCCTTTTAGAGCAGCAGAGAGCCTGGCAGTGGGCGCCAATGACGATTTGTTAGGTGCTTTCTGCAGCCATCGCCTCATTTCGTGAGTGCCATTATATTTGGGAATGTAAGAGTATAGATATGATTAAGAAAAAAAGAAATCTAAGAAATGTTATTAGCTTGTTTACCCACTAAACCCACACTGTAATGAAGTACAAAGATATGGCACTGCGTGTCAAAGTAAATTCTGGAACCACATAAATGTAGAATGTGAGAATATACAGCTGATGTAATAATTCTAATTCTAATAGGAATCAAATCCTCCTGTGAACCCTGTGGTGTTCACTTTTGAACACGGGTGTAACAGCTACAGCTACGTCATGTCAACATCATAATCTGTTTAGAGTTTGGTGGTTTGCGCCTGTTATCAAGCTGCTCTGCTCCTCAAGCTATCTTGTAGCTAGCTTAGCGCCAAATGAAAATGTAAGTGAAATGTGACCTCTGCTTTTAACCCATCACCAAAGTGAACAGGGAGCAGCTCAAGCAGCAGTGTGTGGGGACGGTGCCGTGCCCAGAGCACCTCAGTGGTAACTTGGGAGCTGGGGGACTCGAACCTGAAACCTTCCAGACCCAAGTCTGCTTCCTTAAACGCTAAGCCACAAGAAATGCACTGAAGGAGCAGAGCAGCAGTTGATGTTTCTTAACATATTTTGTAGCACTGTGGGTTTGTAACAGCGTCCCCAGCCAGTAGATAATGCTGTTTGGGGGGCATTGTCATGGAAAAGTTTGTCCTAGTCGACCAAAATGCATTGTGCTGGAGGCTGTGGGGGCGGTATTGTGTAGAAACGGTGCAATTGCAGCATGTTTTTTTTTTTTTTTTTTTGTCCTGATCATATCCTCCATTTTTCAAACTACCCTTTCAACCTCTGTGTCTCATTCCTTCATGTGTTCTGTACTGTCAAGTGTTGAAGTTCATGCAGCAGTGATAATTCTCATCTCTTACTCCTGAGTCTGAAAGAGAGAGAGAGAGATAGGGAGAGAGAGCCCAGCGATGTTATAACAAAAATATGACATTAAACTACAAATCCAGGCACAGATGTGTGTGTGATCACAGTCTTGTTGCCGAGGGCTGTCCAGAAAATAAAAATGAGTCTTTCATGCTGGGTGGCTGGGTTATTAAATCAGGGGATAAAAAAGGGGTCAAAGACGGACTCAGCCAGGTGAGGAAAAGAGGCAAGGTTTTGGAAGGGGACCATAATCCTTAATGTGAACCAGCTGTTGGGGGCCATGCATGAGAGAACCAGGACCAATTGTCCAAACAGAGATTTTGCTTTGTGCCTACATATTTGTCTAATAAATAATCCTTTCCCTCAGGCTTGTTTGTTGCAGTTGCTGATAAGAGAAATTGGGGTGAAAAGTGAGGAAGCAGAAGAGAAGTTGTTTTTGGGAAGAGACGAAGGGAACGGTGAGGAAAATTAAACTGATTAGGAAACTGGAAATGTCAATTCAAGAGGAGGAAAAATAGTTGGGTTGGGGGCAGCAGGGGAAATGAGCAGAGGGGCGTCGTTGCCTCTGAAGCCCCCCAGCTCTGGCAGCTCTGCGTCTGCCTGACTAAGTCATTTTTGGCAGTTACATTTCAGTTTAAAGACGTCACTGCTGAGGATTTATCTCAGAGCACAATGATGTTTTTTATTGCCCAACTGGAGTCAGCTTGCTGGGGTTTTTCCCTCTCCTCCTCTTTCTCCTCCTCTCGTCCTCCTCCTCTTCTTTCTCCTCCTTCTACGTCTTCCTGTGTCTCTGTCAGTACAGAGCACTGTTTGGATTCTGCTCCCAGTGTTTTCTAGGTCTGTGTGTCAGTGGAGCTGCAGACGGGGGGAAGAATAGCTTCTCTGTGTATGTGAGGAATCTACGCACACACATGCGAATACGCACATGCACACGCACACACACACACATGCACACGTGAGCTTTACATTCACACATGACCGAAACTGGAGACCAGTTCAGCCTGGTTTGAATTAATGTCTGGTGGTGAAGCTCATGCTGTCAACAAAGAATATTAGATGTGGACTACATGGACACAGGGACAGGACATGACTCTAGATAACACAAAAATACCAGTTGGTCATGGCTAGGCTCACAGCTGGACACTTTCTGCTTAACATAAATATCAGTCTCAGAGCTGCAGTAGTGTTAACCAGACACACAAATATTAGAGACCTTGTGAATTCAACCTGCACTCTCATTGATGTTACAGACAACATGACAAATACCTGCATTTGTTTTTTTAATAATTTGTGGGGTTCCTAATTTTTGGCATGCTGGTAAAGCTGATATACACACTCCAGCCCTTTAGGTGGCAGTAATGCAGCAAAAGTTTATTTACCAGCTGCAAAAAAAAAAAAAAGATGCACAGCATGCGTTAAGTGACATCACAAGAAAGTTTGTTAAAAGTGATAAAAGATGAGACCACATTACTGTGCTTATAGCAGTGCTGAAAGTCTTTTTTTATGATTTTAAATTCCCAACTTTTGTTATTACCTCAGTGTAAAACACATTACAAACACATGTGCAAACACATTAGTGCTAACGTTAGCTATGACAGTCTTGGGACTTTCCTGATTCAGTCAACCTGCTGCTGGCAAACACATTAGTGCTAACATTAGCTGTGACGGTCT